CACTTATGCTGACAAGCTCAGCCATTTTGAATGTTCACTTAATTGTTGACAGCTGCTTTGCTTGCACGTGTTTTGGATGGTCTTCGATTTTTACCTATTCAAAATTCAAAATGGATCAAAGAACCTGTATCAAATTTTGTGTGAAAAACGAAATTAAGTGCACGGATGCATTCCAAATGTTGACTGTGGCATACGGTGAACCAACCTTGGACCGAAGCAACGTTTATCGGTGGTACAAAATGTTCTCAGAAGGCCGAGAAGAAGTGAACGACGAAGAGCGTGCCGGACGCCCGACGAAAAAGTTAATTGCAGGGGTTCTAGCCACAGGGTAGAACGGTCAATAAGGAATATTACCGGCAAGTTATGCGCAATTTGCGTGAAGCAATCTGCCAGAAACGCCCGGATTTGTGGAAGAACAAAAATTGGCTTTTGCACCACGATAACGCCCCAGCTCACACATCGTTGCTTGTGCGCGACTTTTTGGCCAAAAACAACACACTAATGATGCTGCAGCCACCGTATTCCCCAGATCTGGCCCCCTGTGACTTTTTCTTGTTCCCTAACGGGAAGAGGCCCATGAAAGGACGAAGTTACGTTACGATTGACGAGAAGGAGGAGCTGAAAAAGATAAAGAAATGATTTTTCGAATTGCTTCGAAGATTGGAAAAACCGTTGGCACAAGTGTATAATATCTCATGGGAATTACTTTGAAGGGGTCAAAAAAGATATTCATGATAAAATAAATAATTTTTGAAGAAACACAAAATTCGCGAAATTTTTTCACACACCTCGTCATCTTTTCATTATTATTAAGGTGTTACATCTAGTTAAAAGCCCTATGAAATGAGGTTTTTCAAAAATTTTTCACGAGGAAAACTATTAGCTTTATAATTTTGAACATTTGTTAGCAATTTTTTATTTATAAAAATTCAAAAATCTAAGTTTTCGAAGCTGCTGCAGCAGATCTCCAGGGATCCCTACCAAAAAAGACGTTTTGTGGTGACCATTATATTTCTGTATTGAATCATCTAAACTGAAAAAATCTAACGGATTTCGTAAAAGTAATGTGCGTTTAAAAAAAAAAACTTTTCATCGGCTATGTTCTAGAAAATGTTAATTACTATAAAATATTCTTCAGAAGCCCGTGTAAAAATTTGGAACTAATCGATTCAACCGTTCCCGAGAAATCTTGGTTATCGACTTGAAAAACATAATTATGAGAAAAACGAGGTTAAAGTTTCGCTTACCGCTTTCAAATGCTCAGACGGGGCGTTACAGATATGCTAGTAACTTCCAAAATAACAGTCGGATCAGAGTCTTTACTTGAATACATGTAGGTTACGAAAATGAAGTTAAAAAATATCGATTTATCGAAAATTCCGATTAGTTGTACCCTTAATAAAAATATTTTCCATTGATCTCCTTTTTTAAATTAAAAAAAAAAATTATGGAAAAATTTATGAAAATCGGTACACGGAAATTCTAAAAAATTACGATATTTGGGTTAGCGCTAATAGTTTATTTACATTATTATTGGTGTTAATGAAGGTGCCTAGATAGACGGAATTATCTACGACTTCGTAATTATGACCATCTATATAGTGATAGTCGCGAGTGCGATCACTGTTTGTTTGATGACAGGAGACATTTCTTCTTGCCCTCTTTTTCTATCAGGCCCATTCGCTTCGGAATTAGAGGGGAAAGGTCTTTATCATTTCTAACTGCGCATCAGGTGTTCTTGTGGTGATATCAAATGGCTTTACTCTTTCAAACAATAAGCCCGATTGTACCATATATCTGATATTTAAGACGCTATTCCAACGTCGGCCAAGCTTTTTATCCGCTTAAACATGGCATTTCGCGTAGCCCCTCAAAAAAGGGTCCGACGGTGTCAAATTGTACGATCTAGGCGGCCAATTGACTTTGCCGAAACGAGAGTTTACGCGACTAAGAAATTTCTCTCGCAATCAAGCTATACTCGCTTGGGTAATGTGGCATTCGACAGCATCTTCTTGAACCACATGTTGTAAAAGTCACATATTTAAAGTGCATTCCAAAAAGTGTCGCCATTGTCGTTTTCAAAGAAGTAAGGTCAAATCACACCTCCGGGAAAAAAGCGCACAAGCCAGTATATGGATAAAATGAACTCTGCAATTTTGCTATTTTGCTTATTTACGTATCCCTCAAATGGAAAGTGAAATGCGCGACGGTGTGAATGGTCTGCTGGCTTCAGTTCTAAGAAAGTCCAAGCTCTTAAGAACGTCGCGATGCATAAACATTTGGGTCTTCTTCAACATTTTCACATACAGTAGCGATATTTGACGTGGAATGACCAAGGCGATGAACCAGACCTTCATAAAGCGCAAAACGTGGCCACGTTTAATTCACATTTTTTGTAGTAGATTTTAACAATTTTAATGCATTGATCAGTTGTTAAGCGATCCATTTTTATTAATGCCTGACTTTTAACTAACCTCGTACTTCTGAAACCACGAAATAGATAGCCCTATATATACATATATATATATATATATATATATGCACATATATTCGCACGAATGGTTTAATAACAGTGATTTGTAAGTCTAGTCATATCTAATCGGTAATAAGCGTCGTAACAAGTGTTTGGTGTCAATATAAGAAATGATTTTATTTATAAAGCAATTGAATGATGTTGCAATAATTTATATTATATACATGTACATCACACATACATATAACTATGTGCACACATACCGGCAAAAGTGCATACGTGCTATACATACATATACATTTTTGTACTTATTGCTCTTAGCTACTACTTGCTAACCCTATAGGAAGCGGGTTCTAAGCAACCTTAATGCTAGCAGATCAAAGTGTTCTAAGGAACACCTCTTGCCTGCTCACAACATGATGGCATGCTCGAAAAATCTACTCCGAAGCATACTCAAGCCGGACGTAAAGAGGTGATCTGGTGCCGAATGTTCAGATCGGGCGGTGAAATGAAAACTTTCAGCGTCGGTGAACTCGCATTCAATGAGACCACAGAATAGATATCCCATTACCGGACTATGTCTAAATTTGGTATCGCCACTAAACTTATACGGCTGTGAAGAGTACAATGTCAGCCTAAAAATCCAACGCATAATCACTTCTGCCAACAGGTGCTGTGTACTTTGCAGTGAGTAGGTAATTGAAAATAAAGTCCTCTCTCAATGAACCAAGGCCAAACTCTAAAAGTCGCTCATCATTATCGTCCTCCAACATGGCACAGAAGCGTGGACGATGTCGTGTGTTGGTACTAAGAGTTTTCGAGAGAAAATTTCTGCGGAGGATTTAAGGTTCTTTCCGTATAAGCCACGGCAAACAGCGTCAATGGAACAATCAGCTTTACGAGTTATACGGCGATATTGAGATTGTTCAGTGAATAAAAACGCAGTTAGCTACGTAATGTTATCATTCGAATGGATGGACTCGCGGGCGGATTGTAGAAGAGAAGCAACTCCACTCTGTTGGAAAGTCAGGTTCTTTAGTATATCCAATTGGTGAAAAGAAGAAACCACTGGCATACTATTGTTAATTCAACTAATACCGATTAAACGGCTCCTACACCAATAAAGAAGAAAGAAGAAGCAGAAAGCTTGGTGAATGATTAAAGTCCAACGTCAACGGACTGATCCGACCTACTGAGTATGGGTTTAGACCTAGTATGCTTGGAGGCATCTCTCCGTTGCAACATGTCATTAAAGTCTGAACCTGATTGCCATAATATTTTTTTTCCTGCTGAAAAAGTTCCAGGCGGACTGTTTTGACGTGTTTGGGCCAGAGAAAAAGAAATCTTAGATGAGTTAGTTTTTGGAAGCAAGTATGCAGGACATTCGTTGGATATGTCGAGGTCAAGTCTGGATAAGTACGAACTAAGTCGGCCACAATGTCGAGATATTAATTATAACAGTTGATGTCATTGGTATTGTTGTTGTTCCGGCTTAGGAGCATGCTAGACCCGTCTAATTCAGACCATTCGGAGAGCGGGGTTAAATATGTTGGTTTTAGGGGGCTTGGGAAGAGGTAGTTAGCATCGTGCAGTGATTCATTGCATGTAGGACATACGTTGGATATGTTAGAGTCCAGCCCGGACAGGTAGGAATTTAGTATACTACAATATCCAGATCTAAGTTTCGTCAGTATTACGCGGGACTCAGGCAGATGTTGACGGACTCTCGTTGAGTGGCATTTAATGGTTTTCGGTGAGCCATGCTGTCCAGCAGTTTTTGTAGCTGGTGCTGAATACAGACTTAAAAGCCGAATACTATCTTCCTGATGTTTCTAGGTGGTGATTCAGCTTGTAAGGCCCGACACACGGAACGGACTGTACTGGGAACTAGGAGCTGTTGGGTAGCCCCTAATGGGAGGGCGTGAATAAGCGGATAGAGATCTGGGTGTGTTCTGGGGTGGCTACTCAGAGTGGGTAAAGGTGCTGAAGGAACGGCAGTGAAGGCTTGCGACGCGTTTCAGCAGCAGTATGAGCCAGGTAAATCTTGTAGGCCTGAGCAGGATTTAAGATGACGCCAATCATTACACTGGTTGCATCTAATCAAAAGGAGGAATGTTGGAGCCGTGTGGGGCATACGCAGCAGAATTTATCCGTCTGACCGGGGTTTTGCTTCGTCGATATACTTAGACTAATGATACCTGCTGACCTAAACGTGGATAGGTCGCCGAAAGGGTGACAGCCCTTGGCCAGATAAAATACGGTGCAACTTCGGTGCGTAGAACCGGCTGCCCTAAGAATTCTTGCTGTGCTCTACACAATAATATACATATTTATTTACAGTATTATAAATATGTATGTATATAAGTACATGCCAACAATTATCTTTATGTGAGAAAAATGTATTAAAAAAATATTTTGTAAGGTTTTTAAGATTGCTATTGGGATAGTTCTTTTCGGAATTGTACCAAATTTCAAATAAAAAAGAAGAAAATGTAAAAAAATACACACAACTTTTTAATATTTTAAAAATTGTTTAAAAAATATATAAGTAAAAGATTAAAAAAAAACGAAAAAAAAAAAATGTCCAAATTTTGTGGTGTAATTTCTAAAAGACTAAATTCCGAACAAGTGGAGCCGTTGCGTTTCATTCACCTAGAAATTTTAACCGATTGGCTGACGTGTGAAACTGAATCCTTGGAATCGGATTTTCTAACTAAAAGTGAGGCTGTGCGCGAGGCCCAACTGCAAGTGTTCAAGAATGAGCAGCAAGTAATCGAAGCTTATGCGCTTACAATTTTTTTCAATTCATACTAATATCTCGTGCAGCTGATAGCAATCAATGATATAATGAAGGGGCTTAAACTCAAAATGTCGACCACAGAACAGGAATTGGAGGTTAATGAGGCGAGTATAAAACTGCTTGAGAGCAATATCAATGCGCTAGATGAGCACACCGGACAATTGGCCGCAACTAGCATATCTTGCGGTTGTCCACTTGTTTGTGTTCCACACGAACAACAGAATATGTTGAAAATGCTTGAGAATACCGATCACAACATGGCACGGCTTAATATGATAATGAATGAGGTATATGAATTGCAACCATATGTTCAAAGGACTAGTAATCCCTACCATACAGTATGTGAAGAATTATCGCCTTATAATAATATGTAAATAGATATTAATGAATTTTATTTCCTAGGTAAGCAGCATACTGGATTGCCAAGTGACTACACTGAAACAAACCGAAAAGAATCTGGATCGTTTGGCTGAAAAGTTGAATGGAGTCGATGGCATGTTTCGCCTTGCAATGCGTAGGTGATACTTCCAATTTACAAACGTTTAGTAAAGTAAGTATTTCGCATTTTAATATATACCATTTTATCCTACCAACAGAGCATCTCACTGCTGCACGTCAAAATCGTTCACACTCCGCGCCGCCAACTGTTTACAAATCCTTTGGTGATGGACGAACAAATGCCTGATTTCAAATTAAACGTGATATACATTTTCAATATACATAAATATCTACAAATAAATATATATATGTATTTATCAAATTAGTTTTCAGTGTTTACAACAATTTATTAAATTAAAAGTATGTTAATTGAAGATTTTTCCAAATCATGTTGGCGTAATTTAACAGTAATTATGAATTCTTATTCCCTTATGGAGATTTTCTAGATGTGGACACTTTCTATCTTTAAAGCTTAGCATACATATATTACATAAATGTAAGTGTAATGTGTAAAATGGCTTAAAAATAAGATCAACAATTCTTTTTTGGTCGACCACGAATCACGAGTCAGTTCTGAAAAAAATTATGTCATCAGCTATAATGCTGGTAGTTGTCTTCTGATTGCCCTGCTGATCGGTAATTTCACCATAAGTAATTTTTCCTTGCACCATAGTACGTTGACCTTTTTTGAGATGCTCCATGACAGTGTCGCGTAAATTTGGTTTAAATACTACAACACGATGCCATTCGGTGCGTTGAGCCCAGTCGCCGTTTTCATATCTGTAAGTAATACAATATTGTTATTAGAGATATGTACATACATATGCGTAGTAAAGTCAAGTTCAAGTATTGTACGCAAACAGCATATTTCTATTCGATTTATAGTACGGTGATAATATTGTAAATAACCTGTAATTAGCATGTGTGGCCACAGAAAACATAACAACCGGATGCTCAACTGAACCGCGCAATTGTGGATCGGCGCCAACTCGTCCAAGAATTGTTACGCTATTGACAGCTGAAATGGAAATTTTTTTTGTATTAAAATAGTGAGTTCAAAGAGATATTGAATTCATACTCTTTTCAATTCTAGTTGGTGCAGCTTCTCTGGAGCTACAACGTGCTGCTTGCGTCAGAGTCGTGCGCAGCGGTGATATCAACTACAATTACAAATAATTGGTTATTTACTATACTTATTTTAACAATTTTCTCATTAAACACTTACCGAACGTACACTTTGCGAGAACATCTTTGTAAGTTTCTTTAAATTATTTAAATCAGAAAAAATTATCAAAATACATGAACAATGCTATCAAAATGCGCCGGTAATCAGCTGTTCATCATAGCGCGGTGCACACTGGAGACATCTGGCATTTTTAAATTCAAATGTTCATAAAATTGCCGCTAGTTTCCCTCGGGCGTGCATGAGAGTGAAGGTTTGACGCTGAGCTAAGTTTCGGCATTAACAAGACGAAATAATTAAACATTTTATTCTTAAATAATTTTCAGGCTCAGAATAATTGACTACTGTTCTCTTACATATATATAAAGTACTCTGTTTCTATCGGCAGCATATTCATAACAAACATTTCTTAGCAACGGAGAATTCTTCACAGGGTGACACTAATGCTGTGTTCTATCAATTTTCACACCGGTAGTGTTGGGTGTTTCATAGAGTACGCAGTTTTTAAATTGCGCGCAATTTCTTTGTCTGAAAATTGTCAGCGCTGTTGCTATCATTTTCGTTATTTATTATTACTCCGATTATTAGAAGATGTGACGTTCTTCCATTTTGTAGCCATGGAGCGGTTTGGTATCGAGCAACGCATTCTTCGTATGAAAACTCATTACAAAAACGGGGATTGCTACGCAGAGACTGCCCGTAAACTTCGCGTGATCTTTGGATGTGGCAATAACAGTTTCGAGGGTTGGTTCAAAAATTTAAAAAATTTGGGTCAGCTGCAACCAGAAAATCCACCGGTCGAAACCGTAATGTTCGAACGCAACAACACTTTGCGTCTGCAAGAGAGTTATCGTTCATTTCGCCGATCGGATGACTGCCTGCAGAGAAAGTGGAGATGGACATATGCTCGATATCATTTTTCATTATTAAATTGAAGCATATGTTGAAAGAAATTAAAAAAAAACATGTTTTTGAATTTCGCATGGATTCTGGCTGATTTATTGCATTTTTAAGATGATACTTTATGAAACACCCTTTAGTTATTTTCATTGTATATAAGCGAAAACTCCACTACCAGATGTCGCCTCAAAGAATTGTCTGTCAACTCTTATACGCAAACTAGCTGAAATTGAATTTAGTTATTGAGTGGGAAAGAAATTTAGACAAAATGAAATTAAAATCATTAATTTTCTTCTTCAGATTATTCAAGTAACACTAATTATTCTTCAGCACAAAGCCTTTCATTATTATACGACATACATACATATAAAGACGACCAGATCCGCGTTAGGACTTGCCTCTAACCTTTCATCGCTTAATTTTATTTAATTCACAATACAATCGATGGTAATGACACCTCCAGAACGTTTTCAGACTCGAACCTGCGACCTTCTGAATAATAGCGCATATCCAAATCTATACAAAAATATTTGTATATGTACATACATACATATGTAAATAGAAATATGTATATGGTTATTGGTATATACGAAGTGCATAGTACACATGCATACTTATGTACATATGTATGTATTTTTCTAACCCCGAAAAATTTTTGGTTTTTCCATTTTTGGCGTTGTGCGTATGTATGTATATAAATATGTACATGTGTATGGATATATACACATATACATACTTGTTCTGTTGAGTTTATGTGACTTCTGTCATTTCTCCAATTTTACTCTTATTCGGTGAGCTTGTGCCTTTATCCTCACAATCAATCATCGCCAAGGTTTGCCTTGCAAAAGTCATATCTGCTTTCTTGTGCTACAGGAACTTTTTAGGGAATGCTTAACGGTATTGTGGCACACAAGAACCTCAATCACTACAGAATTAGGAGAGCTCCTTACATTTGCGTTAACTAAAATGACTTAACTTAAACGGTACTCGGAAAGGGGTTATCTGAAAGTTCAATATTCATTGTTAAATAAAAGGGGGAGAGCTTTTTTCAAAGTCACATAGTTCTCTATCTGGCTGGCTCTGTTTATGCTATTGCAAGGCTTTTTCACAGTCCCAAGCTTCTTTGCCATGGATTGCTCTATAGAGGGAAGAATAGTCTTCGTGGATCTTCTCACTAAGAAAGAAGCTTTATTTGAGAGTCTTGGATTTACACACAAAACAGATTCCATTAAAGTTTGTCTAAAGTCTTGAACTATCAATGGCGAGCGATTTGAGAACTAATGAAATGTCTAGTCCCTTTATTGAGTTGGTTGATATCAAACAAGAATCATCGTATCTCTTGGGTTGCCGTGGAGGCTATCTAGCCACTATCGAATCGAAAAGAAAATATATTATGTGCATCTCTTCCAGGCTCTTACATCGCTTAAACAAGAGCCCTGTTCATTTCATCCTGCAAAGAAGGTGGCTCTGTACACAAAGACGAATTTGAAAGCCTTGTGGATACCACCCATTTATTGTATACGTATAGCAGGGTGAAGCGAAACGCTTGTGCGGGCAGTACACTAGAGAGATAGATCTTATCTACCATACGGTTAGAAAAGTTAAAGCCCACTTTTCCATGTTAGTCTAGTCGGTGCTGGAGCTTTTGGACTAGTTTTCAAAACTGAGTCAGGTTACGCCATCGGTTGTTTCAAATGTGTTTTCGACTGTACAACAAAGCTGCTAAATACAGCCGTCGTTTCCACAGTAAAAGCCAACAAATAAGCTCAAACATACGTACAAGTGTATACATTGGCTGAAAAGTCCCGGTCTTCAGGATTGTTGAATTCTTCACCAGTTTTTCCAACCAAGAAAGGATTGAATGGTCCGGCCGAGGGGCGGCAGCAATTACAAATATGAAATTATAATCTTAGGTCTTCTCAAGATAGTCATAGAATATTACATCACGCACATCCCACTAAGCCCGTAACCCATCCAGTCTATTGTTGTCCTGCCACTCTAGTCCATTCACATATCGTCGCAAAAATTCCGGCTTGTAACGATAGGTACCGAGAATTGAAGAGAGAAGCAGGACGCATGTTCAAACAAAAAAAAAAACGTGGTCGATACGAGTGAGTATGAAGAGTTTAAGAAGTTTGCGAAAATTCTTCGAAAAGTTGTGGTGGCTCAGAGAAGGTTTCAAGACCGGAGCAAACTCTTGTAGATCCCTAAGAAGTTTTAAGAAGGGGCAATTGGAACCCAAGTGTGCTCTGCCCGACCCACAAAAGTAGGAAGAGCTTATTTTAGCGTACAAATATGCTATTGAACACTGATGATAGCCGTGTCGTGAGTTCTAATTTCTTCAGACTGGATAAGGAAGCGAAGGATATGGTTCTGGTAGTGGACAGCGGCAAGACGAAATACACATCTCCTCTCATCAAACATACAGTCATGGAATTCGCAACTTGGCTCCCACGTCGCTGGATATGATGTTGAAAAAATTGCCTCGGGTCTTTTCCACCCACGTGCTATACCTATATGTGCATGTGATGCTCCGTTTCTTTTCATGCTTTGTGGTTCTGCTTCGTTTGAAAAGTACTCTTTTGGAGAAGACAAGAAAATTTAGTGGCAATGACGATTACACCATCTGCTCCAACAAGCTTCGTTTCGGGGGTTCTTGGCAGGCATTACGTTTACTTCAACAAGAACTCAAATATAAATAATTCTGATATTCCTTACAATGGGTGTAGAGGTAGTACATACACACATATGCATGTGCATACTTGTATGTAAAAGGATGACTAAGTATGTATGTATATCTATGTGACAGTTGCTTATTTAGCCCTCCACACTACGCTCGAGGCGAATTCACGTTGGGATTTGTGTACAAGTCTCAACGCGTCGTTCAACTGGCATTATAACTGCCAGCTACGTAGTAGACTCAACGTAGCATCCACCCCCACCAACACCACCAACGCCGCCATCTTCATCGGCTGGCTACACGTGCTACGTCGTAGCATAAACTTTGCCATTGCCTGCCATCATTGGCGTTTTTTGTGGTCATGGTTGAATGAAAAAGCACAAATACTCCTCATACATATATTTATGTATTTACCATCTACCGTTCGGTAAGCACCCACATTTTCGTTTGGTGCAGACTCGCTCTCAATGCTATCAACCAAATGCGGCTCCTTCGCTCGACTTCGTTATTTATTCTGAGTTTTCCTTCCTTTTTTTCCATGGCGCAATTTTCGTTTCAAGTACTATTATTTCTTCTTCTTCTTCGTCGTCGTCGGTGTCGTCGCGTCACCAAGCGACCGCTTTTTAGGTCAACGAAAAGTAAAAGTTATCAAAAATTAAAGGAATTCCGTTAAGCAGGCGAAGTAGGAATGCCAAATACGCGGCGTTGCTGAATGTGTATGGAGCCGAGGGCGATGTGGAGTAGCGTCGTGGTGATATCGAAGTAGGAAGACAGGACAGTGTGAGCAGCAGGATATGCTCGACTGTCGGCGGAATATGAAGGCGTGCTTGGCTTGACGATAGCAATTTCCACACAGCGCCAAGCTAATGGGTAGGCTTTATTAACTCGTATGGCCACGCCGCTACGGTCCTGAGTATGGCTGCTGTTTCTGACATTGAGAATTCTTATCGTGGCTCGTTCGGAGATGAATGGGCAGCCAATTTGAACTTTCGTTTCATTTTTAACTCCACGAGATTCACGCGGCGAGTTGTGATAACGTTTGCGCTGTGAAATGAATGTGGGTATGTGCGGGGGGTTGCATGACGGCATCTACTCAGTGTACATTCATATATACGTGTATGCATATGTATATCTGTACGTATGTAATTTCATATGCACGTAACTTCTATAGCAGTCGTCGTTCGGTGCTAAAGTGGCGAAATGTCGAATGGGTTATGTTGCGTGACCTTGAAATTTCATTATAATTGCTTTCGCTGGCATGCGAAGGCCATTTAAATGTGCCAAAAATGTGCGAGCTCTTTGCGGATGGATGAGATCCCTGCAGTGAAATGTATACCAGGTTATAAGAATTCTAGTTTACCCCTCTTTTAACATCAAATTGGTTTGCAATTAAAAAGTTGTAGATATTATTCAATAAAGAAATGAAGGATTTCATCGTGGAAAAATTTCGTTTCACCTTGAAAACAATTTCACTTTCTCACATGAAAAACTGAAAAATTTCGCCGTAAAAAGAGTTCCAATTTTTTTTCTTTGCTTGCAGAAAAAAATAAAAATTTCACCGTGAAAACAATTTCACTTTCTCACATGTAAAAGTGAAAAGTTTCATCATGGAAACAAT